AATGATATAGTCAAATGTCTTGGTCAATCAACAGAAGGGTCGTTATTTGTGGATGACTTCTTGATCTGTTACAGATCTAAGAACATGCACACGATAGAACGACAACTTCAACAGAGTTTAAACAAACTACAAAATTGGGCAGACGAAAACGGCTTCAAATTCTCTAAATCCAAAACTGTGTGCATGCATTTCTGTCAAAAACGAAAAGCACACAATGACCCAAATCTAACACTCGATGGCACTAGAATTCCTGTTGTTGAACAGACTAAATTTCTCGGCCTCATTTTTGATTCGAAACTCTCTTTCATACCACATATAAAGTATCTGAAGGATAAGTGTTCCAAGGCGTTAAACATTATACGAGTCCTTTCTCATACTGATTGGGGAGCGGATCGTGAAATGCTTTTGCGCCTATACAGATCACTTATTCGAACAAAACTGGATTATGGTTCTATGGTATACGGGTCAGCGCGCAGTTCGTACCTTCAGATGCTAGATCCAATCCATAACCAAGGGCTACGTCTTGCCCTGGGAGCTTTTCGAACAACACCTGTAAAAAGCCTGTACGTGGAAGCAAATGAACCATCCCTTTATGACAGAAGAATAAAACTTTCATTACAATTTGCAACTCAATTAAAATCAAACCCTAAAAATCCTGCTTTCAACCAAGTATTCAACCCCAAATACCAAAACATATTTACGCAAAACCAAAAACTTCTGCCAACATTTGGTATCCGAATTTTGAATTTCCTGCAAGAACTCAACATAAAATTGACGGACATAGCTGAATTTAACATATCTGATGTTCCTCCGTGGACCATTCAAACCCCCGATTTTAACTTTACATTACATGAGCGAGGGAAATCAAGTGTTATGCCCGAAGAACACAAATCCTCCTTTCGGGAATGCATTTCGAATTACCCTTCTCATACACAACTTTACACCGATGGCTCCAAAGAAGGTGAGAAAGTGGCAGCAGCCTGCTGTACTGCCAATACTTGCACTTCAGTCCGACTACCAGACGGCGCCTCCATCTTTTCTGCTGAAGCATGCGCCATTGGTTTGGCCCTCGACCATATCGATGAACACCGCATTAAAAAGGCAATTATTTGTTCAGACTCTCTATCTGTCCTACAGAGTTTACAGTTACGAGATCCTAAAAACACAATCGTACAAAACCTTGCTCATCGAATATCTCGTATATTAAAAAAGTCTAAAATAACTTTACTATGGATTCCGAGCCATGTCGGAATAAAAGGCAACGAATTTGCTGACAGGGAAGCAAAAAATGCATTGAATCTCGAACAAACAAATATCAAACTACCATACACAGATTTTAAACCTACTATTCGTACAGCCATTCAAAATGAATGGCAGAAACGCTGGTCTCTGGAGACCAACAACAAACTTTTTAAGATACAACCGAAACTTAAAACATCTATTCCCAGTCGGAAAGATCGTAGAGAGGAAGTTGTCCTCGCTCGGCTCCGCACTGGGCACACATATCCTACTCATTCGTACCTTTTAAAACGAGAAGATATACCTTCATGCCACGCATGTGACACTCCATTTACAGTGGAGCATTTTTTAATAGAATGTTCCGATTTTAAACACATTCGTGATAACTACTTCCGAGTCCCGGATATGAAAACACTTTTCAGTTCCGTGGATTCGAAGGCATTATTTAACTATTTGAAAGACATCGGTCTATTTTATAGACTCTGATGTCTTTTAACCCACCTTATCCTTTTTGACGTTATATATATATCGCATATTCCATATCATCTATTCGTTATCTCTTTTATTATTTTAACCCCCTTTTATTATTTTTAATTATCTACACATACAATGCGAATACTTTTAAAATGAACCATTTTATCTGATTTTATCTTCGCTATTCACATGTTTGTTAAAAAAGTAAAGTGAATAAATAAATCACCATGGCCCTAAATGACCACAGCCGTCGATGGGCCGTTAAACATAAACAAACAAACAAACAGTTTTGTGGCAATTTGCATACGTTATCTCTGCATCGCATGTTAACACTAGACGTACTAAAGAAATATATAAAACCTTTGTCAAGAGTCATGTTAGCATATCAGTATTTCTCTTAAGAGGTTGTTTTGGCAAATAAACAAGGTCTATTGACGAATGGTTGGCTCCTTATGTAAATGTTTCATTACAGAATATGTTTTCTGAGTAATAAGTACTCGGAACCTTGTTTAATAAAAATGGTCTGTGCTTTGATATATTGATTATATGTCTGAACTGGAGGTATATGGCTTTAATTTAGTAAAGGCTAATTGACAGCTGCCATTTATAGCAGAACTGTTTTTGATTACCTAGAGATTTATGAAACTTGTATGAGGTACAGACAATAAATTGCCTCAGGAAACCCCCTCAGCCTGAGATTTTCTTTAAAAATCATGTATTTTCACCATTTTCCTCAGATAGGTCTCGGATCCGCCACTGTAGATGGATTCCTAATTCACACAATCTATGAACATGTGTTGTCTGATGATGGGTACAGATATGTTACAACCTTGTCCAGGATATATAATTATATAAGAAGCTTTAGTATCGCGTCAGATACAGAAACAATATACTGAATGTCAGATAGAAATAAATATTTAGATGGTGATGTAAATTTGACAAAGGAGTTCCTTGAAATAATAATCTAGTTTCAATCTTAATCAACTACTCCGATAGATGAATCCTAACTACGAGAAATGAATCAAGTCAGTGGATTATTAGTAAAAGATTATCTTGTTTATCCCTCGACTTCAAAATGATGAGCAAAGTTGAATTTTTGTTTGACAATTCTCTTTTATTGACCAATAATATAAACATCACACACTGTACGTAACTACATCTACAACAGTTCGCTCTATTTATAATGACATAGATTACTTTCGCTTTACATATATTTTACATTAATATTAACTCAAGATCATCAATATAAATATTTTAGCTATTACGGACATGATACAAACATAAGATAAAACATGTTTAAGTTTTTATTTAACAAGATTATTCCTGACATCTCACCTATGAAAACTTCATAAACGGAATTACCAGAGTGGAGATGATAGTGAAGTGAAAGCCCAGTAATACGGTCGTGTGTGAAATGTTTTTTCTTTTCTTTTCGGAGTTGTCAATCTCCACACAAGCATATAAAAACACAAGAATTTTATAAATGAATATCCTAAACCATTACTAGCATCATGCATATGTAAACTACATACGTATTCTATTTTTTGTTTAGTTTGTGCTTGATTTTGAATATATTTTATTGTAGACACTAGACGACATATAACCCAAACTAAAAGTCCTATCCAATTAACATACAAACATGAAACATAATAAATTATTTCGATTATTTTACATCCACACTGAGAAAATTCATTCACCCCTAAAAATTTCATAATGAACTATTCCAACCATTGAATTGGAAGAGTTCAAATGTGTCTTCATGGGTGAATGATTTAATACATTGTTTATGTCGTTGCTTTCGCGGTAACTGGATTCGATCGTCCACATTAATTATTATTTTTTTAAGATGCATTGAATATACAATTAGTACATTTCAGCCTGCAATTTATTTGCATATGGTGATTTTGTGTATGTTAACGTCCACATCAATATTATGACTGTTATGTTATTGTAATAGTGCAGTTTTTAAACTACATACAACTGTACCATATGGCTACATTGTATATTCCCACCTGGGAGCTGTACTATCTGTTTACCTATAATTAAAGCTGATGTTATCTGATACATGAATGTCTGCCGGTACAAGATATAAATTACATTAATCAATTATCATAAATCTATGAAAATGCAATCAGCTCTACCTGATCAGTTAGTGTGAATAAAAGCAATGACTGCTGGTTTGTGATACCTGGAAAGATCGTTAAATAATCTGATGTGCTTTGTTATATTTCCGCTTAAAAATATAAATCTCAGAGAAATATATTCTTTGCATACAGTGTGTGGAACTATAGGACGATAACACAAATATAATAGTATTTGGGAAAACAAAGTGTTTCTACATCACCCAATGACTATAAACAGCAACTTCAAAAATCCAAGCAGCGAAAAGGAAATGTACTGTACATATCTAATAACAATACAAAAATGGGCCTTCATTCCTTACATTGTAAAACCCTTGCCAGCGAAAGCACAAGGAATACTTTTTTCTGTTAATACTCCAGTGATACAAAACATTACTCAGATAGCAGTCTCTTAATCGTATTGTTTTAAGAATAGATAAATTTAATGGTGTACATGATTGATCACATACTTACGAACAACACCTCACACTTGTGTATGACATAAAAAAACAATAACACAGATTTATGTATCAGACTCCTTTTGTTTCTGAAGTGATTTTATGTACCGTTCTCGATATTTATTGAACGTGTAGAAGTCACTGAAATTCGATGACGTCACAGCCATAGGAAGTGCAATGAGAAGAATTCCTGTCAAAGCACATAGCGCACCGATACAACAGCCTTGAGGGGTGGTCGGATAATAATCCCCATATCCCACTGTTGTCATGGTGACGATTGCCCACCAGAGGGACACAAAGACGTTTGGGAGTGTGACGTCGGAGTCTATCCCTAATTCCGCCATGTAAAGGAGGAGAGCAAATATGATAGCTACACAACCGAAAGACACTGCCAGGATAAACAGCTCTCTTGCACTAGATTTTAAGGACAGGAGTAAAAGCTTAACCCCGACGCTGTGATTAATAAGTCTGAAAACGCGCAATATTCTAACACAACATATTGTTGAGATGATAAACAGGACGGGGTATAACCCTTCTACTTCAAACAGGTATCGCTGCAGCTCCATCCATAAACCAATCCACTGGAACACCCAGGAGACCAACTCCACACAGTTTAGGAAGCTCCGCATGAAGGACTTCTTACTCGGAGCACAGAAGAATCGGACAAGCCAGTCAATCATAAAAATGACGTTACAGGCGCTGTCCAGTGCTACCGTGGCATAATGCGGACGTGTTGACCAGTACATGAAGGCGGTGTTTGACGTTACACTATACGGATAGGTTTTAGTAGTGTCCAACTTTACTCGGAAGGATGGGACGGTTGCCATGATGAACAGGAACGTCGATAAAAGGATCGTCACACAGAGTACCCCGTACCATACCTATAAGGTATAGAAAAAAAAGTAGACTTAATTACAATGTGGATGGCTAAATTATATTAGAATATGTTTTTGATATTTTAACAGTTATGTGATATCATGTCTCTACACATGAAACATTAAATCGGCAAAACACTATTACACTTAAATTAATCTAAGTGACCACTAAAAATGACAAGATGTTTGATAGTCGTCCGACCAAACAGTTTGGCGTTATAAATGGATTTTGCAAAGGAGAATATAAAAAAAAGTAATTAGGAAAAGAAGAAAAGTGATTTTAAAGTAATTATTGGCGGTCAGCGAGGTCTCTGATTCATTACATGTACTTTGACATTTTTGCAGCAATAACAAACAATATTCGAATTTACTAGCTCGTATCATGTGCAATAGTGGTTTTATTTTCAAAAATAATTTTTGTTTTCTTATCTTGCGTTTCAATCAAAAACATTACTTCTTGCATTGGTTGTTACAATGATAACAGTAAAGGCCATCACCCAGATTTCGTGTAGCGAACTTTGGTCAATATTGTTTGATATCTCTATTTTGTTTTAGATATTCATGTTTTGATAAAAAGATAAAAACAATTTGTTAAGAAAGACAATACAGAAAAAAACATTTGCTGTAAGTAAAACATGTTCCCATTGGGTTTCACATAACAATCGAGATACACGTTATTGTTGGGACTACTTTTATATCATATGTGCCACCGTTTGTTCTATTTCATGTTAAACCTTTGGAACATGTCCTTTTTTTTACCTTTCCTATACGTGTCGAGTTGTCGTTCAACGCACTGTAGATACAAGACCTAGAACATCCGCTGACAGGTTCATCCAGTTCTGGTAACTGTAAATGTCCGGTTCTGTGTGTGTGTATAGCGTCACAAGGCATATGACTGAGCAGTGTATCCATTGTTGTCACATCCTCTTCTGTTCTATAAAACACCTTCCAGCAACATTTTCCCAGTTTGCATTGTGGGATTCCCCAGAATTCCAAATCACTTTGAAATTTCTCTGTGCAGACGTTTCCAGGGACATGAAGATTCCCGGTGTCGAGATAGTCGAGCACCGCATCAAACACGACAGCACTTTTGTTAAAATAAAACTCGTCTTTTTCTCTGTTATAATACTTGGAGCTGTCATTAAGCTGAGCCAGTGGCGAGTGCGACTTGACGCTGACGTTCACAAAATCTTGTTCGACCACGAATATAGTTCCTCGGACATTCAGAGTAATATAGCCCATCTTTGATAACAAACTTTAAAAATTTGAAATTGTACACGTTTTCGTCGGTAGCTGCGATGTTAGCGTTAAAACTTCTTATTCAGATTACGAATCATCCCTGTTTGATCTCGACTGATACTTGTCCGATATTAGTGACATCCGTTTTCTTTTTATCCTAGAAAGACAGTCTGATCCCGAGATGATAACAATGTCCTCTGTTCGTCTGATCTCAGAGGTTTGCGTTTGCTCTGAGTGACAACTGCTCGCGTCTGCTCTCAGTGGCAACACTTTTCGTCTGATCTCACTGACAACTGCTCGTTTCTTATCTGAATGGCAACCAATTTAGTCTGATCGCAGTGACAACTGTCCGCTTCTGATCACAGTGAAAATATTTTTCGTTAGTTTTCAATAATAGAACAATGCGTATGCGATTGCACAGGGGGCCGAGTACATGGAATATATGGTATTATATTACTATATCCGGGTTAACAATAGGACTAATGATGTAGTAATAAAGCACTGTAGCATGATCGTATTATTGACACGCTGCAGCAGTAACTGGTACACATTTCAGTAAACTTTTTGGTTTACAGAGAAATTCAACTTAGTTACCAAAAACAAAACCTCCAATCTATGAACTTCGTATCCGTAGGAGATCAGAATCACTTTGGAGTCAGAATTCCTATTTCGCAATCAAAGAATCCTTCTACAAAGTAAGTGATGTTTATCATGATGAAGCTAACAATGCCTTATGTAGACACATCAGTTCCACCGACGGCTGATGAGCGTTCCGGACTCTCTGTGGACTTTTATCATCAACCAGAACTAATATTTACACGTATGATGCTGCCAATACTACCCATATCACATTCAGTTTGGAGTAGATTGTTATCTGAAGCGCTGCTATTGTTCTGTTGTTATGCAGTATGTATGCAACTCCAAGTTACTTGTGTTGCAAACCGTTAATTGTTTGGACTGTATGCCAGAAAATTAAAAATATAAAACAATGTCATCACATCAGGAAAAGAGAAATGTGTGCTTGAATCTTTCTGTTTTTGTTTAGTATTGTATTATTCAACCTCCTATCAACAGTTTTTCTAGTAAACTGCCAATTTCTCGTTGCGGGGACGAAAGCAAATATTAAACGGGGAACTAATGAACATGAACACAATTCTAGGTTTAGTCTTAGAATCTACATGACAGGACAAAAAATATGCAATTAAAATCAGGAAAAATCCATGTTTGAGTGAAGCTGTTTTTGAATATAGACCAGTAATGTGTCGTAGAGATGAACGTGTAGCACACCAATGCTTGATAAAGAAGGAAAACATCATACAATTAAGATCTGGAATTTATTTTTGATTAAATCGAAGCTGATTTTGATTGCAGGCCATTATTGTGATGTTGAGATGAAAACGTAGCACGCAAATGCTTGATAAAGTAGGAAACCACAATGAAACGTTAATGTTAAGTATGAAATAATCCGTATTATGCCATACCCATTTAAAACCGTTGTAGGATTCCCACCACATATTCCTGATATCCCCTAGAGTCATTAGACGTATACGGTGCAGTCTTGCTATGAGCTCGATTTTAGGATTGATTACCAATACATTTGTTCACTTGATTCCAATCTTTGTTTATAAACAAGGATGACACTTATCTAATTAGCCAATTTAATTAGCGGATTTAAATAAACTCGAAGAAATAATGGTTTCATTGTGAATTTTATTCATGAAAAAGCGTAAAATGTCCATCGATTGTTAATTGAGTATTCGCTGTTAACGTCCCAGTAGATATTCCGCCAACAGTCAGGGTACTGCCCTCTTAGTTTGAAGAGAAATGAATAGGAGGAAAAGGAAAATGTCTTTAAAATATCTAAAAACAAATTATGCACACCGCATTATGACTGAATACTGGTCATTCCAAAACGTTGATTTTCCACACAGAATCTAGTGTTAAATGATAAACAAATAGATTTAGACTAAAACTCAAGCGTCAGTAATGGTAGCGATGAAACAACTGGAACACTGACCAAACTCTCTTTAGAACAAGACATCCGCTAACACGATGATAAGAATAATTACAGATGAGTTATATTTGAGTTGCCAAATAACTTAAAATGTTCCAAACAATACGTAGAAATACAACAAAGGGAGAGTGTGCATATAAAACCCCTAGGCTGTAGCAGATAACGTGTTGTTAATCTAGTTTTTTCTCTTAAACTGAGCTAGGATAAATTCAGCTACAACGTTTCGGACAAATCCTGGGAGTGATCATCCACCAACAGAGTCAACACCTTGTTACGTAAAATAAGTACTAGTTATACAAAGTATGCATATAAGATCAAAGCTGAAGTCACTAAAAGTAATTTTGAAAAGAAAACCAAACGAAGAACGGATTGATTTACATCTGCATATTACGTCTCTGATACAAATATGTAATGTAAATCTGTACTATAAGCATTTCCTACATTAATTGTTGCCTACTTTACTTTATTCGCAAGAGGATTTACTTGTTGATAATACGTGTGTGTGGGGAGGGGGGGAGCCCGGAATGGTGACATGGAGATCAACACCAAGTAAGTCATATTTAAAACAAGTTACTGATCAATCTTAAAGCCAATGCAAAAAACTGATTGCACCTATCTATCCTCAATATGTTATCAATAGGTATTGTGTTCATAAAACACATCATATTCAAGAGAGCAAAGTCTCTTCTCAAACAAAAAGATGAAAACAACGGAATGTGTTTCTGAGTATGAAAATATGAGAATAGTTAAGGAAAGAAAAATTCAGAAAACTTGTGTGTGTGTGGNTGAGAATATTAACAGTATATACAGTAAAAAAAATCGAAATGCCAAACAAAAACAAATGATGAAAAGAAGTCAAAATCATCGACAAATTTTGAGAAATGTCAACAGCAAATTATTTAATAAGAATATTAGTACGAAATTCAAAGTGCCAGCAATCGATACGGTCTTTGTATATTTTTTTTCCCGACAATTCCCGAAGACGGACTTGTTGTAAATGCAATTTTTAATGCTGGTACGATTAACACCGCTGGGCATTGGAATTATGTTCCAGATGTTGTTGGTATGTCATACAAAATTACTACATGTTGCAATTATCATAACTACATACTACAAACAAGCAAACACTGACAGACCAATCAGTATATCGATTGATCTACAGAAGATTCCACTGGAACAGAAACAATAACACTCTACAAACATCTACAGCCACCTGATGTATACATGTACATCACAAGCCAAGTCAAGTGTGTCATATATCAAAATTACATCGAACAAGTATATAGTTACACAGTGTACAATCATATAGTTACGTAACAGGGATCAATCATCTTAATGTAAAAATATATAGACCATATCATAATTTTGTTAAGAACAGCTATTTAACATAATAATTTAATAAATTAAAACAAACTATCACATGTGCCAATCCAGAGAGCTAGTGATTGGGACAGCCACTACCTAACAAACTCCTGGATTTTGTCCTTACATATTAAATACTATAATAGTTAAAAGGTTTCTTTTACATTTACTGCCTCAAAACATGAGGACTTTAGAAAAGAAAAAAGAAAAAAAAAGAAAAACAAATGGTCATAAATAAAATGAATGATTTCCTAGTTCTACATTGTAGTGAAATTTAGGTTTCCAAGGGTTGGGGAGCCCCCTATCAGCGAGGTCTGCTAATTTCACACTAACTAGTTGCTAATTATAATTTAAACGGAAGATTATTTTCATAAAAAATGTTTCTGATTGACACCTGGTATCATATTTAATAAATGCGTAAAATAGAAAATGTAATTGTATATGATATTCAGCCTAAAATGGCTTACAAGACACTGTTTATAATTATAATTAATCATATAGACTGCTACGTCTTCTGTACATAATATATAAGTGGTTTGCAAACGGAATTTGTAATTCCTCGGAAGACTTTATAAAATTAGATTTGTCAGTGTTATTAAGACTTGCAAAATCATTTCTTACATTATTTACTACATCAAATAAGGATGATCTTATATCATTATATACATCACATTCAATTAAAAAGTGTAATTCATCCTCTATACAGTTACATTTGTATATATCTTACACAAACGTTCCTCTAGTGGAATCACAGGTTTGGCGTATCTGCCAGTTTCTACTGCTAGATGTAGAGAGCCACATCTAAAATTATCATTATATGTCGTAGTGTCAAACAGAAAATCCTTCATCAAAACTCAATTTCCAACGCCAGGGAAACAACTTGATATGTTTTACATGCATTTAGTCGTAGTTGAAATATGTCATATTCATTCTTATTTGAGTTAATTGAGTTTATTTCAGTAAATTCTGCAGATATTGCTGCAGATATTGCAGAAAAGGAAATTATGCATTCATATGCAGAGTTGAACTTTTGTAACCTACCGAATTGCCGTCTTAATTTTACACCGCAAACTACTTTATTAATATTTGTTATTTCCGCAATGTAATATTCCTCTAGATTTCATCATAATTAGAAGGAACTGATGAAGTAGGCTTTGGTAAAACAAAGCTTACACAAAGTAACTCTGATGACATCCTCAAATTGGATGGATTCAACATTTAAAAAGAAAACAGCAAATCACACGAAATGTCCATCATGACTCGGCAAGGAATTTCAGAAATAATTTTCATATTCCAACCTGCAACCCATCAGTTTATTTGAGTGCATGGCGACAAATCAGAACTAGCACGAAACGACCAGACAAATGATTGCAGTTGTATACATGTCATACCAATAGTCTTAATCTTAATCCAGCATCGCCGGTGTCATAAGGTACGAGGTCTACATGTACATGTAAGTTGGGCAGTCGCTAGGTACATTTGCTGGTCGCAGATCAGTGGTGTTTTGCTCCAGGTACTCCGGTTTTCCTCCACCATCAAACCCTGACTTGTCCCTAAATGACCATAGCTGATAATCACCGCTTTATGTCCATTTGAGGTTTTTGGTGTTACACTTCATGTGTTCTGGTAAGTATATGAAATAGCAAATTAAAATATAAAGCCCTCACCTTTGTGTGTTCTTAATCCAACGAGAAATCCTACTAGATGCATGTGATTAGAGATTCTCTAATCACACGCATCTAGTAGGATTTATCGTTTTTGGAATGACAAGCGCATATATATGGAAGCGAAACTTTTCTTTGAAACCGTACAATTATGTGCAGGAAACGAATGGAATAAAAGTTGAAGGGAGGAAGCTTTTTAACATTGACATGATGACGCACAAGTAAATTCTTGCCGGCAGCTGAGATATTAGCTTTTTTATGTAAATTTGCTTCTTCCACTCACAAAACAATGATTCATTGGTTATCTTTTGAAACAGTTATGATCACGTAAACAGGGGAGGGGGTTTACAATTTCGTTAACAGTGTAAATAGTGATAGCTTCAGCATTTTTTTCACTTCTTGGATTTCCTAAACATAAAATGACTATTTATTATTAATTCTTATTCTTATGTTACCATTACTATTTTGCACAATTTTCACAAGTTATAAACTTAAGATTCAGCTCGGATTTCCCTTTTGAGATAGTTTTGTCACGAAAACTCGTGTTTTTGTGTACATTGTACATAATAAGCTTTAGTTTTATCTTTTTATCCTTTGGTAAAATTTTGGGTTAAATAGTATCTTATAACTTCAACTTCAACTTCAACGGGATACTCTAAAACGTTCAATATACTGAACATTATTTAGAGGCGTCAGAAAGATCGGTGAAAAACAGGTATCGGGGTTTTTTTTTTTTTTTTTTTTTTAGAACTATGCGATAAAAACAACATCGACGCTTAGAATTTGAAAGACATGAGATTTGCCTTCAGTGTTAAGAGGTCTGCACCATCGGCGATGAAGGTTGGGAGGCTGTTCCAGGTACGAATTGCTCTAGGAATGAGTGAATCTGCATGATAATTTGTGGAGCTGTCTGGATCTGGAATTTGTGTTGTCGGGTTCGCTGGAGAATTTGGAGGTTGCCATCATATGCCAAAAGGCCGTTTATGATTTTATATAGTAATATGGTGGAAATCATATTACGGCGTGATAGAGTCTGGTAGATCATTTATATAGATTATAAAAAGGCAGGGCCCAATGACTGAGCCATGGGGCACTCCAGATCTAGAGATGACAGGAGTCAGGTCGAAGATGTACTTAATTACAGCAACTTTCTGACTACGGTCAAGGAGAAAAATTTGGACCCAAGCAATGATTTTGCTGTGAATGCCAAAACGAGTGAGTTTTAGAATGATTCGGTCATGGCCATTGACCAAATAAATTGCATTTGAAAAAAAAAGATAAGATGATAAAGCCATTTAAATTTCCGGATGTCGGTACTGAATTCGTTCCTAAAATTGCAGACGTTTGTTTTACTTCCGGGAAAATAATGGCCAAGGACATATTTCGAGGTGGATTTGGACGGTTGTGTTGGCGTATGACTGCTAATCTGAACACTGAATTGCAGCATGGGAAACGTTTTTATGCAGCGTATGTATCATGACAGTACATTTTTCAAGTGTTTAATTTCCACTGTCAATACAAACGCGGCAATATGCTAGTTGGCTCATGGCCTATATATAAGGTTTCCCTGTCAGGAATCGTGTGTACCAGTCCGGCGGAAGGGACTATAAACGGTGACAGCCACCCAGTGTCCTGTGTGGGAAGGTCCAACCTGCACGTAAAAGACCCCTTTGTGTATTGTCGTAAGAGTATGCGCGTTACCGCCGTCATAAAGGATAGGGATAGGTTAGATTTAATTATTTTACTAAGATTATGAGACGAACTTCCAAAAAATATAGAACCAAAATAAAACACAATAGAGTAGGATAGGGTCATATGACACCCTGGATATGGTAGCCAGGCCCTACCCCTTCATCCACGCCGTACTAGAAATCTTGATATGATACGGCTAGCTTAATTCCTGTAGGAACTCTAGCTATCTTAATAAGACATTTATAACGATTTAGTACATCACATGATAATTTCTAGGATAGCTATTGGATAACTACCCTTGTTCTATTTGGTATAGATAGCATCCGCCCTTGACAACGGGAACTATACCTGGAGACTGGCACTATACCTTTTTTGGGACCGCTGAGACTGCGGGAAAAGTTGCGTGACGCTAAGAGTTGCACCCCTTCTCCTAGGGGCGCTGCATATATTTCTACTTTCACTTCATTATGGTCCTTAAAGACTTCCTACTGGAAAGGGGAACCGTATGTGACCTAGCGGTGTTTCAATTCAGTGAATTGAATAGGCAACAAAAAAAAAGAGATCTACTCAAAAAAATATCTTATTGCCATTTGTTGTAAATTATTAAATACGTTACTTTTTATTGTCAAATGACAGTCATGTGATGTACTAAATCTATTATGACCCTTTCCATCGGGAACAGTTTTCTTCTTATAGTGTTGTCTGGAGAGGTATAGTGCCCTCGCCTAACGGAACAGGCACTATGCCTCCTCAGAAAACACTATAAGAGAAAAGTTCCCTCTGGAAAGGGCCATAATAAAATAATAAATCTATGAGTTCCAACAGGAATTTGGCTAGCAACAACACAACACATTCTATCACCAACCGATGTATTTATATCAGGTTTTTTAGTTGGATCGTATAGCGGAATCATTTATTTATTGGGATTTACAAGTTTCGTTGGCGATATCAATGTTCAATCACTATAAACCATGCGAGTACTTTGAACACTTACCGTCCTCCATTTCATACATATCTATAAAGGAGCTGTGCAGGAACTCTATCGTTAAAAATCTTTGATTTAGATAAAGTTCCTACAGGAATTAGGCAAGCGACAACATAATACATTCTATCACCAACCCCACCCGCCCACCCCCCTGAGGGTATAGGTAACTTCCCTCATGTCGACAGAACACAGACCTCCGTCAGTGAGACGAAACCTGAATGGGTGGAGTCATGTAGACGATAAACCTGTCAACCAACCAACCAACCAATCAAATCGTGTAGTTTTTCATAGTCAGGTACCTTGCTCCTGCCCAGTCTGATATAATCAAGATCTCAAGTTCTCATTGAACTAAAAATGTTACTTATTCAACATGTCCCTTGTTGAAGGACAAAGAGGGATCTGATTTTAACTGGATTGGTTTACTTTGGACCCATGCTCAGTGAGCAACTGCAGCTGGATCAGAATCATAATTTTCCCAACAAATTCCCGTCCTGTATGAAACGTTTCAGGGTTAAAGCATTGCAGAAATGTAGCAAATTACCGTTTCCAGTTTATCAAACTGCTGTATACACTATCAGCTGCCTTATGTAGAAGGAAGGATACATGTACCTCAGCAAATGTTTGACTGACATTGCATAAATTAAATTTTAGGCCATTTTTCGGTACATTTATTTCGCGTTTTACCGAGTGCCAAAATGTATTGAATATTTGAGAATAAAACACTGTAAATTAAATATTACAGTGTATAAAAACTAAACTAACACTTCTTGCACATAAACAGTTTTTCTATACTTTTTCAGTAATAATTTTGCACGAATCGCTCTATTTCTGCATCAAGTTCCGAAGCTGTCACTTTCAAAATTGTCGTCATTTTGGAATCAGCAGTAGATCTAAGTAAAATTGCATAATAATTTTTATTGAAATATCATGACAGTGTAGATCTTGTTCTATAGTCACTATTTAGTGCCAATTAAGGTAGGTGTGCGGTCCATTTCTGCATTTTGTTTCTACTTTTCAATCATTCAACTTCATTTCAGCACTTTTCTGTCATTACCATAACCCTAATATTGCGAAAAGGTTAGAGGTATTGAAGGAAAAGAGTAGCGGTATGTACAATTTAGATTTGCAGTTCCTAAGCATGCATGTATCTGGCTAATTTACACAGTATAAAGGTAAGCCAAATCACGTTGTACATGTTTATAGAACGAATGACAATTTTATAGAATCACATCTGTTAGTGATTCTCTCGTTTCCATTGAAAAACAGGGATGCTTTTTTTTTCTTGACCAACCTGAGAGTTGGTGAAAAGGAACATTGTTTATTGACTTATGATTCCAAGTGACTTGTTTTAATGTCTTTGTTGATTTTGTTGTACTTGCATCCCATTATCTGTACCTGGTCAGTCTATTAGCACTTTTATGAAATAGCACACCAACTCTTTTACATTTACATTCATGTGAATTCAGCATTGATACAAAACCTAATGTTACTGATCATGTATACGTAACATACAATTACTATTACATACAGGTCTGGACTGCAGGAGTTTGGAAAGTGTGAGGAGACGAGAAGTGCAGACATTCCCTATGACCCCGGACAGGTATGTGTTACCAGACATTCCCTATGTTCCAGGACAGGTATGTGTTACCAGACATTCCCTATGACCCAGGACAGGTATGTGTTACCAGATATTCCCTATGTTACAGGACAGGTATGTGTTACCAGACATTTCCTATGTTCCAGGACAGGTATGTGTTACCAGACATTCCCTATGACCCCGGACAGGTATGTGTTACCAGACATTCCCTATGACCCAGGACAGGTATGTGTTACCAGACATTCCCTATGTTACAGGACAGGTATGTGTTACCAGACATTTCCTATGTTCCAAGACAGGTATGTGTTACCAGACATTCCCTATGACCCCGGACAGGTATGTGTTACCAGACATTCCCTATGACCTAGGACAGGTACAGTATGTGTTACCAGACATTCCCTATGACCCAGGACAGGTGTTGCCTTTACAAACAGGTCACTTATATTGCTGTTTAAAACTTATCAACATTGTAAAGCTGAACTGCTTGAAGATCATGATCCTTCATGATGTGTAATAATTTTTCAAGTTTTCAAGAATTATTGCTAAATAATAAATTGTCATATATCAATCTGTAATATTGAGTTTTAAGTTTTAATGTTTGCATTGCAGCTGTTCCTTCACAAATCCTTTTTGTACCGAGGTATAGTTCTGTTCTCCTGGAACAGCAGTGTCATCACACACACTTCAGACAAACAGAAAGATAAAACCAGGTAAGTTATAATTAAAACTCCACAATTTTCTTCTAGAGTCAATTATCGGTTAACAAACAAATGTAACAAAAGAGGAAAAATGCACAGCCAGACCGGGGTTTGAACCCGGGACCCTCAGAACTTTAGACAGACATTCTACCAATTCAATTGAGCTATCTGTTTGCCGACGATCGACCAGTCCAGTTCCGCTCTATTCCTCCCTCCTTTTTCTAAGTCTTCGTCCCCGTAGACACAACTATTTACAACCCAGGTTCGGTTATCCCCTTGACAAGCATACACCAAATGCTTGAAACAAGGGTTGGTCACAGGCACCACTGTAACAGGAAAGGAAAAATGCACGGCAAGAGCGAGGTTCAAACCAGGGGCCCTCAGAACTCTAGACAGACGCTCTAATAATTGAGCTACATATACCTGGTCGCCGATGATCAGTAGAAATATGAAAATTTAAACTGATCAGAAACACATATGATCATTTTATCTTTTCATATATGTCTATTTCTATCATCAAAACAAATCACTGAATACTTAATTTTGCTAGAAATGTACTTTCGCCCATTTTTGGTTCTTAAGGCGATCTATATATATACATGTATGTAATATAGAAGATACAGCACCAGAATATAGTGTTGTAATTGGTTGGGCTTAAATTATGATGATCATACATTTGTAGTGGCCATCATGTCCGACCCTTTGAAATATTCTTTATTTTTGATTAAATAAAAATATTACGATAGCTGCTTAAAGATGCTTTGGAATAGTAAATATACTCTTTGTTATATCTCTTCTGTTGTAAGTATTAAATGTCTTTTCTCCTTTGCTGTTAAAATATATACAGATGTCATTTCTCCATTGTTGAAAATATATACAGATGTCATTTCTCCATTGTTGATAATATATACAGATGTCATTTCTCCATTGTTGTTAATATACACAGATGTCATTTCTCCATTGTTGTTAATATACACAGATGTCATTTCTCCATTGTTGAAGATAAGATAGTAAAGATAAATGTTATTTAGAATCCATGGACATAAACAACAAACAATAACAAAGTCAGATGTCATTTCTTCTTCATTTGTTGTAAATATACAGGTGCAATGTCTCCTTGTTGTAAATATACAGGTGCAATGTCTCCTTGTTGTAAATATACAGGTGCAATGTCTCCTTGTTGTAAATATACAGGTGCAATGTCTCCTTGTTGTAAATATACAGGTGCAATGTCTCCTTGTTGTAAATATACAGGTGCAATGTCTCCTTGTTGTAAATATACAGGTGCAATGTCTCCTTGTTGTAAATATACAGGTGCAATGTCTCCTTGTTGTAAATATACAGGTGCAATGTCTCCTTGTTGTAAATATACAGGTGCAATGTCTCCTTGTTGTAAATATTCTGATGCCATTTTCCTTTGTAGTAAAAATGCAAATGTCAAATCCCACATCCCTGACAGTAAACGGATGAAGAGAAATTTCCAACAGTATTATATGGCACTGACCGATCCTCGGGATTCTCCATATAAGGTAAATAGGAGTTTAAATACCCTTACTTGCTTTGGTCATGTCCTGCTGTAGTTTTGTTCCCAGAACAATGAGGGATTTATACTGTTTCAGGTCTATTTGTTTTTAAACTAGTTATACCGATGGTAATCATAGCTACTCTGGTTTTTCCACCACAGTGTTTTCCAAAACTTTTCTCAAATCCATCAGATTAACAATGTAAAACAGTGCACTGCACAATTATTGAAGATCTGCACTGCAATGTGTATTTAGGTGACATTGACCTCCTCCCTCCCCTTGGTGAAAGGTCAAACAAGTGCAAAGATAATATGCTTATTTACTTACATTGAGAGGCATACGTTGTATGTTTGTTCTCTGAAAAAAATATGAAGTTGGTAATTTATTATTTTTATTGTTCAGACTCACAAAGTTCGACTTCCTGTATCTATGATAATTAAATTGGTTCAGTGTCCAGATATCATTTGTACCCTAGCTGTTTTGACCAATAACTAGAGTTGTTGAAGGCTGCTGATCATTCTAATTTCATTCATCACAAGGTGCTTTTTGGTAGATTAGACTTTGATGTCAGATGGATTCTTTGTATAGATATGTATGTTTAATGAGATGGCTGATTGGTTGAATGTTCCTTAGAATAGCCTTCTCCATATATATAATCTACAGGTTATGTAAAATGTTCCATAGAATAGCCTTCTCCATATATATAACCTACAGGTTATGTAAAACGTTCAATGGAATAGCCTTCTCCATATATATAATCTACAGGTTATGTAAAACGTTCCATAGAATAGCCTTCTCCATATATATAATCTACAGGTTATGTAAAACGTTCCATAGAATTGCCTTCTCCATATATCTAATCTATAGGTTATGTAAAACGTTCCATAGAATAGCCTTCTCCATATATATAATCTACAGGTTATGTAAAACGTTC